GATGATGATTCATTTATTCAAATTTTTGGGGTTATATTAGTTAAATTTTTAGTAACTTTCAGAACTTTCACTTTTTTATGATTTCTCGAAGATTCCTCGGATTTATTTTGATCGAATTTCTACGGCGAGAGGGAAATTGAAAGCGTAATTGATTTTTAACGTAAGTTGTGATGCAATGGTGGGGAATAAATAAAGTATTATCGGAGGGAATATAAAGTGGAGGGAATTTTTTAGAGAAGCTCTTGGGATTCAGTCTATCACATGCCCACGATTCCCATCGAGAATTCAAATGTCGATATCCGATCTATCAATGATTTCGGAATATTCCCATAGACCCCGAAGACCGAGATCCCTAGGTTCAGCTTCCATCATCAAAATAAAATAGAGTGTTCCTCATTAACATCCACTTAATTACCTCATTATTGTCTCCAAAAACTCAATACAAATTCTCTTGAATTTCCCGCTTTCAAATTCCCTTTAAAAATTCTTGTCGCCTCTCGCGCCAGTTTCTACGAGATTATGAAACTTGCATATCATTTACTGAAGAAGAATTCCATAAAAAAAAGTTAATCCTCTGGTGTAAATTCTCCGACTTTTTGTTGCAGATAATAAAATAATAAATATGGAGTCTCCTCGTGGATGTTGAGTCATTAATTGCGGGTTCTTTTTAATGAGTGAATAATCATTTTTCCGTGGGTAATAGCGAATCGGGGAATAGTTAAAGTTTCTTGAAAAAAAATAAATGCACGAGACAGTTGGACTCGGAGTCATCTGGGTCTCGGGAAAGTCCATGAACGCGTGAAACTGGCTCTCATCATAAATACGTAACACCGAATAAAAAAAAATGAATAAAAAAATTGGAGAGAGTAAGAATGTCTTCGGTAGGTCGTGCGACCAAGGTCGGGTGTTATGCGATCCCGGGTTTCGAATGAAATCGAAATACCGGGGAGAAATGGAAAAGGAGTGTTTATGCAGAAATCCAAAAAAAAAAAAATAATGCGGGGAAAAGGTCCAGTAAAACGGGTAACAAGAGTCATTTCATGGCGCCTCTCAGTGTCACTCGATTGCGATATCTCGACACGAAAATAACATTCCATTGGGAATCGATTGAGGGGGGGTAGACCCAAAGAGGAATCCGAGATGGGTCCACTGCCCACATTAAAAAACATTAAAAGAAAAAATTGCGAAATCTACGAAATATTCCGTTCGATTCATGGATTGTTGATTTTTATGGAATTCGTGTCAGTGAATTCGATTTAGGGGGAATTAATTTGAGGACATGGATTGGAATACTCTTGATTCCTGAAAAATTCCTCGGAAAAATCGCCGGCGGTTGGAATTTCGTTGTGTAATACATGAATTTTTCATGGATTAGTCAGAATTTTCGGATGGATCTCTATAGTACCGAGGAATTCACCGGGAGTCGTTGAAAACGAAAAGTTTTCACCGAATGAAATTTTTAAAAAATATCTTTAATAGGCGATTGCCTGATGCTGAAGGCATAAATTTGTTAGGAAACAATCCCGCAATCATTTCTATCCTCATAACTCATCCACCTCTCGCCTAGCCGGAGGTTTCGCAAAATGGGTGATTACTTATTAAATTCCCTCAAGTACTTGAAATTCACCGAGACGAATACGA